TAAACCTTTAAATCATAACAAAAACATCATTAATATTAAAATTTTTAGCATAAAAATATATTTTTCATATATATATATATTTTAATTTAATTGAGATACTGAAATATTATATAAATAAATATAAACATTTAAATTGTAATATGTAAATGTAAAAAATTATACGGCTTTAAGTAATAATAAAAAAATAAAGAGAAGGCTAACGGCAAGAACTAAACCAATTAAAAATGTCCGGACAAGAATCCTAAACCCCCAAATATGTGGAGCTGCTCCCGCGGCTTTCATTTTAAATGGTCCGAACAAATCCCCACCGCGAAGAAAGGGGAAGGAAATTTTCTCTTCTTCGATCGTCTCCTCTTCTCTTCTCTCTGGCATCCCTTTCTCGTCTACAATGGCTGCCGCCGGCCGGCGCGTCGGGCTACTCCTTTCCCTCTTCGCCACCGTCGTTGCGGTATCTGCTAGCAATGGCGGAGTTAACAACAGAGGAGTGAGTTACGATTCTCGCTCGCTCATCATTAATGGAAAGAGAGAGCTCTTGTTCTCTGGCTCCATTCATTATCCTCGAAGCACACCAGATGTAAGCATTACTCATTTCGCTATCAATTTTTCGTTCATTTTGGCGTTTTAAATGTATCAGAGTAGTTACTCGTTGATTTGGGTGATCAGATGTGGCCTGGTATCATTGCCAATGCAAAGAAGGGCGGAATCAACCTGATCCAAACGTATGTTTTCTGGAATGGTCATGAACCAGTTCAGGGACGGGTAAACACTCGCAAATTTTTTATTTTTATTTTTTGTTTGTTGAGATATCCAGATAGATTTAGATCAAGAAATCTTCTTTTTCTTCTTTGTGAAACACAAACACTTTCACACCCTCATAATGTTTTCTGTTGCAGTATAATTTTGAGGGGAGGTATGACTTGGTGAAATTCATCAGGTTGATTCAAAAGGAGAAATTATATGTCACACTTAGGATTGGACCCTTCATTCAGGCTGAATGGAATCATGGGTAATAATTTCATGAAATTTTGTAACACTACGGTTTCATTTGAGACAGCTTTTTTATTGCTTCATAAAGTAGTTTTTTAGTACAAGAATTTTAATTTTTGTACATAAAAGCTATTTTATGAAGCATTAAGAAAATCGTCCCAAACAAAACCTGCATCTGCTTGTATCGATCAAAAAAGAATTTTATTTTTTACCTTTGTATTCGATGCATTTCAGTGGATTTCCATATTGGTTAAGGGAGGTAAAGAACATCACCTTTCGAACCAACAACCCTCCATTCAAGGTAATCACAATCAGCATCAAACCTGAACTAAAATTTTTCAAGAAAGTCATTCTGTAATGGCCGAATTAAGTTTAAATTTACATGCAGTATCATATGGAGAAATTTGTGAGAAAAATTGTTGATATGATGAAGGAAGAGAAGCTCTTTGCTTCTCAGGGAGGTCCTATCATCCTTGCTCAGGTTACTATCATCCACAACTCCTATCAATCAATCATTTCGCCATTGAACTATGAACAAAAACTTTGTTAAAAATAGATTGAAAATGAATACAACATGGTACAAGCGGCATTTGGGGAAGATGGCAAGAAGTATGTACAGTGGGCAGCTGACTTTGCCTTGAGCCTTGGGATTGGAGTTCCATGGATGATGTGCAAGCAACAGGATGCTCCTGGACCAATAGTAAGTTGTGTTGATCAATTTATATCGAACATGAATGATAATTTATTTTACTTCTTCTGCACTGTTGTAGATCAATTCTTGCAATGGAAGAAACTGTGGTGATACCTGGAAGGGACCTAACCATCCAACTAAGCCTCTTATCTGGGCTGAAAACTGGACTGCTCAGTAAATAGATTTTCAGAATTCTGCTCTTTTTGGTGTTTTCTTTCTGTAGATTGAGTTATTTCTTTATGCTGATCTTAAGGTACCGAGTTTTCGGCGACCCGCCGTCTCAAAGGTCAGCTGAAGATCTTGCATTCTCTGTTGCTCGTTTCTTCTCTAAGAATGGGACTCTTGCAAACTATTACATGGTATGTAGTTTTATCTGTTATAGTATATGCCTGAATAAAAATTTGGTTTTGAATAATGATAAAAGAGAGATTTTTTATGTTTAGTATCATGGAGGAACAAACTTTGGAAGAACTGGTTCTGCTTTTGTCACGACACGGTACTATGATGAAGCACCTCTTGATGAATATGGTACTAAATGTTAATATTGTTGCCTTTAAAGCTTTTCTACGACAAGCAAGTTCTGAATTTTACTGTCTTTGTACAGGTTTACAGAAACAGCCAAAATGGGGACACCTGAAGGACCTCCACCGTGCTCTGAAACTTAGCAAGAAACCCCTACTTTGGGGTTCTTACAGTTTCAGAAAACTGGGGAAAGATGTTGAGGTAAGAAATGGTGAAGTTAGCTACATTTACTCCTATTATGCAAATTTATTGTTGTGTTGGTTGTGTTTTGATGGTTTTTTTTCTTTCAAGAATACAGGCTAGAGTCTATGACCTTCCTAGTAAGAAAGTGTGTGCTGCTTTCCTCACAAACAAGAAGGCTGACCGAGATTACACAGTGAGCTTCCATGGCGTCAACTACTTCTTGCCACGCCATTCTATTAGCATTCTTCCAGACTGCAAGACTGAAGTCTTCAATACTCAGAGGGTTAAAAAACTACACAATTCATTTAGTTATCAAAGCAAAGTTTGATGAGACTGAGAAAGATGCTTGCTTACCTCTGCTTTCAAATTGTATTATAGATTAATGCCCAGCACAACTCAAGGACCTTCATTCGATTTGTGGAGAGGAAGAAGAAAAAAAGATGGGAGATGTACCAGGATCATATCCCCAGATATCATGACAAAGGAATTGTTCATAGCCCGGAGCCATTGGAGCTCATGAACATGACCAAGGATACCACTGATTACCTTTGGTATACCACCAGGTTTGTTACTTTCCCATTTCCATTTTTCTTTAGGCTTCGTTTGGTACGGCTTTCATACTGCTTCTTAAAACAAATTTTTAGTACAAAAGTTAAAATTTTTGTACTTGAAAGCTGCTTTAAGATGCAGTTAAAAGTCATCTCAAATAAAACCTAAATGTAAAAGAATCATAGTGAGAGAAATGAGTGATCGTTTGGATTGAGGCTCGGACAAAGAGCAGCTTTTTATAGGCTTACTCTAAAAGAAAAGAGGTGCATGAATGAACAAAATCTTATATTGAAAGTAGAAGAGAAAATAATGAATTACAGTTGAGCACGTTTTTATAATAAAATACTCTTGGAATGGATGATCCCTTAGGAAATTACATAAATAATAAAAGTGAATGATTTAACCTGTTATGAGATAAGCGGGCCTAAGCTTGTTGTGTTAACACAGAGAAATACCTTCGTATAATATTTACCTTTTGTTTACTTGTTGATCTCAGATTTAAGCTGCAGCAAGAAGACTTGCCCTGGAGGAAAGATATTCATCCTGTGCTCCAAGTTGCAAGCCTTGGCCATGGTGTGCACGCATTTGCCAATGGCCAATACCTTGGTATATAATTCTCATTTAATTCTATCTCAAATTTGACAAAAGATTATCCTTCTACCAATTTTCCATTGCACCTGTTCTGTTGCTGAATAAACCAAGTGCATATTTCATTCAGGAAACGCACATGGTAGCAAGATTGAGAAGAGCTTTGTCTTACAAAAAGTCATGAATCTGAAGCGTGGAACCAACCACATTACCATCCTAGCCATGACCGTTGGTTTCCCAGTAAGAAATTCAAAATCAAAATTTTGACAATTTGGAATTTCATGCCATAAAAAGAGACTAATATGTTCTATTATACTCTGTAAAGGATAGTGGTCCTTACCTTGAACGCCGGCTTGCTGGAATTCGCTCGGTCGCCATCCAAGGCCTTAACACAGGTACCCTGGATCTCACTGCCAATGGTTGGGGCCATAAGGTAAGCATTTAATTCACTGCCAATTCAATCACATTCTCTTACTCAGAAATCTAATCATGTTGAAAACAAACAGGTTGGCTTTAGAGGAGAAAAGCTCCGGATCTACTCAAATGAAGGAGTCTCCAGAGTTCAATGGACAAAAGCTAAGAGCAACGTACCCATTACCTGGTACAAGGTAGAATCATGAACAAATCTTAATAAAAACACTTAATCATAACAAATTGAGTATTGTAGGTTTTAGTCTTGTTAGTCATCTATCATGAAAACCACTGCACTGCAGAGATACTTCGATACACCCCATGGAACCGATCCAGTCATCATCGACATGAGCACCATGGCCAAAGGTCTTGTCTGGGTCAATGGCGAAGGCATTGGCCGATACTGGGTTTCAAATCTCTCTCCTCTGGGGACCCCAACTCAGACTGTGTAAGTGTTCAAACTTTAAAGAATAGTTCTAGTAATCTAATAGTTTTATATATAGATGTTTCAAAGTTCAAATTGCTTTGTTCTGATACTGTTCATATCAGCTATCATATCCCTCGCTCATTCTTGAACCAAACAAAGAACCTTCTTGTTGTATTCGAGGAATCTGGAGGAAACCCCGAGGGAATCCAAATTTTTACAGTTAGGAGAGACGACATATGTACTTACGTGTCTGAATATCATCCTGGTGTTACCAAATCTTGGTCGAGGAAGGAAGGCCAACTCAGGTCGGTTGTTGAGGATGTTAAGCCAGAATCTCACCTCAAATGCCCAGACAATAAAGTCATCCAAGCCATCACCTTTGCTAGCTTTGGCAACCCCAGCGGCGTGTGTGGAAACTACACCATTGGAAGCTGCCATGCTCCACAAACGAAGCTTGTTGTTGAGAAGGTAATTCAGCTCTTTTCCAATACATGTTTGCTCTTCATTCATAAGTTCTACATGAAATTTCTTACGGGTATGCATGATTTAAAGGAACTGAAGGAATGTAAAATCATTTGCTTCACAATTTCATTCTAAGCTTTCTGTACAATATAATTCATAGATAATTAAACTTACTTTTGAAATTTACTATTTTCTTCTCAACTTTCTGAACAATTATGAATAAAAATTTATCATATTATTATTGAGATTCTTGTCACATCTTCATAAGAAACAAAAACTCTTTCTCTCCTAAATCAAACAAGAAATTCCTTCCTTTCAATAGCTTCAAACAAAACAGAATCCATAAAATTTCTTTCCAGGTGATTCCTTGCTTTTGGGAGGAAATTCTATTAGAAATTCCATTTAGAAGTTAAAATGAGCATCTCTATTTATCAGATTTTTGCTTTTGGGCAAAACTCTCAATGTAAAAATGGCTGAAAATGAGAAGTCACTTGTAGAAACAGTTGTAGATAATTTCTTATAAGATTTCTATACCTTGCTTTCTGTCTATTAATGGCGATTTTTGCTTTTGCCTTGCATGATAATGACCAGGTCTGTTTGGGAAAAGCTTCTTGTGTGCTGCCAGTGAAAGGGGAGGTTTATGGTGCAGATGCAAACTGTCCAGAAACTACGGCGACGCTTGCAGTTCAGGTCTTTTGTGGCCGTAAGTAGAGCTATATCTAAGGATTGAGATTACACATTTGTAGTAAAATTTGTTCATTTTTTTATTTTTTAAGGGGAAATGTAATAATCATGGTGATTAATGAATCACTGTGTCGAGTTCTTATTGTAATATTTTGAACAATTCAAAGGCATGCCTTCATATTTTACTTTTATCAATTTTGCTAGAACTAAATATTAATTTGACTGAGTTAAATAAATGTCAAAATTCAAAATATTCAAATATTCAAAGAATAAAATGTAATTCATAAAAAAGGGGGATTTACATACATACCACTTTATTTCATGCTATTTACATATCTAACACCAAAACTTTAATATTACATTTCTTATAACTCTCCAAGCAATCAAGTGAGGTAGTCGGTGGGGTGAGAGAGGGATATTTATAAATATATATAATCATCCGCTAGCATCGCAACGCTCACCAAATCAACGCCAAAGCGTTCTACTTCAAAATTATCATATTTTTAAAATAAGTTTATTTCAAATATTTGAGTTATTACAACATCTATGCCAACATGTGGTGGCCATATGACTGATTTTGTTGCATATTTAACAATCTGCTCTCAATTGGAGTTAATGTAGGACCTTTAGCCGGTTGAAGAAGGGTATCTGGGAGGTGTACCGCGACCACGTTAACGGGATTGAGTAAGTGTTGAGACCTCTGTTGGATCTGGTGTTGGAGGAATACAGAGCTAGATTATATGTGGGAGCCGAATTATCCCTGAGCAGTTCTTTTTGAATGTTAATCACCTCGTTATAGAGTAAGGAGTAGAGAGTATCATGGCTAATCGGGTGGAGTTCTAATGGAAATTTTGAAGGAGTTGTATGCCGATGGTAGCTCATTGAGAATGTAGATGATGATATCCTTGGAGTCTATGATGTTCGATCCAGTTGCTGCTATGTTGTCCATTAAAGCTTTGATTTTTGCCAGGTACTGGTTCATAGTGTTGTCCCCCATTTGAATGTTATGCAACTCGTTTTTGAGCTGTATCACCCTAGAGCGATTGGTGGGTTGTAGTCGATTCTCTAGGGTAAGCCAGATTTTGTTGGCAGTAGTTAGGTTGAGTATGTAGGGAAAGATGGAGGGTGAGATGGTGGAGAAAAGTGTTGAGACCATATTCTGGTCTATGAGGTACCAGAGGCAGTGATCCGAAAAGTTGGAGGTGGTTCTGGTGGAGGATAATGTCGTCTGGGGGGCTCACTTGTTTTCCGGTTAGATACCCTTCAAATCCATTAGCTGAAAAGAGTTTAAATATATGTAGTATCCAGATTTAGTAGTTTTCATTGTTGAGTTGAATGTTAACGAAAGATTTGATGTTTGACATGAGGAATTTCAGCGAAGGTGGTATGGTGAAGTCTGCCATCGAGACAGAGAGAGATGAGATGGACTGGGTACTTGTGGCATCTTGATCTCCCATTGAAGGATGGAAGGAGAAGTAGAGTTGTAGAGCTCAGAGCTGTCATACCATGAAGAGATAGGGAGGTTAATTATGGATAAAAAACAGAGAATGGAGCTTTAATGTTGCAATGGTTTTGTGTTTTCATAAATTGAGTAGTTACACTATTTTGAGTGCATATATAGAGACACATAAGGAGCAAGTTAGTTAGAGTATTCTGCTCTGTCATTTTTTGCAGAGCTTGGCTGCGATGATGTCAGAGTGCAGCAGTAGTGGAAGGTTGAGTTTTGAACCTGCTGCTTTTGGAGAGTGCTAACATCCCCAACCTAAAAAATTATTTTATATTCCAAAATTCAGTAAGGAACATATCAAACAGTTGTTTATCTCCAACCGAATTTCATTTCTAACTCTTTCTCTTTATATATATATATTTTAAAATGCATTTGTGAACTATGTGACGTCAATGTTCAAAACACGAAAATGCCTTTTGAAATGTCGTTCGGTTAGATGCTCACGCGAACTACAAATGCTCAAATTACATTCGATTGGAGATGCCCTCATAGTATTGTGTTGTCTTGAGACAATAATGAGGAGCAACTCATCCAACGCATAGTATTATGATTTAGAAGTCCATTAGTTAAGAGCATAATGATCACTAATTGTTGATTTGAGCTTATATATTCTTTGATGAAGCCAAATTGGATCAATTCAAGCTCATGTTTAATTCTTGAGTTGCTTTGAATTATTTTTTAACATAAAAAATTGTGATCCATCAAAAGAATTGTATCCATCATAATAATAATAAAATATAGCTATACAAATAAACATTTTGCAAAAGATTTTTATTAAGATTTTGATCTCTATATCACAAGAAAAAGGACATTTTTTTCCTATCGCAGTACCATAAATAACAAATACTGAAATACTATTATGCATTCAATCAAAATATGACCTTTCTTCATCAATTGACATGTTCTTTATAAATTTTTTTTTGTACAAAATACGTATTTTTTTACTTAAATTAGATTATTATTATTATTATTATTTACCGTCTGAGACCTCAGAAGGCCGAGATTCTAGTGGAAGGCCGACAGAATCTGGCTAGGGTCCGACGAGATCTTACTCGTGGTTTGGAAGATGATCGTGTGCGTCGCCGTCGTCGGACACCAGGTCTGTAACCGCATCTCCTCTCTCTTCTTTAACCTCTCCTTTGGTATTCCGATAAAATCTGAATTTTGTTGATTTATATCCAAGGGCAGAACAATCCGCTGTACTTGCAGAGCTTCACTGAAGCTGATGACGCCTTGAAACTTCACCACATAGTGCACTGTTCATTGGACGTCATCGAAGAGAGAGGTGAGTTTTTTCTTTCCTTGCCGAAGAGCTGTGATTTCGGGAAAGCGGTGGGAGCGATACGGCTTGATTGTAAAAATGATTTTTTTTATTTTGGTGAAATTAGCAATTATGTTCAAAATGAGATATATCTAAATATTGCTGATTCTTAACTGATTGATAATACCAGGAAACGTGTGACCTTTTCAATTACAACTTGAACATTCTCATCCAATCTTCGATTACTATATTACTGTTATGAAGATTATGATTTGGTTTTCTAACTACAGCCTCAAGCACTGCAACTGCCTGCAGGTCCTGCATTATCCTTTTCCAACTCAATTCTCCGTATTTTGGCACATTTATGATATCGTGGACTGTTGGATGTAGGTTTTCTGCGAAAGCAGATGAATCTATATTTACCAAGAGTAACATTAGCTTAATTTATGTATCATCAAGTGATTTTTTGACATAGTTGAAACTATTTTGCTCTGTCCTTTGACTCTATTGAGTAATGGATAGAATATAGAGATGTTAGGAGACTTAATATGATATCCCATGCAGAAATCATGAATACAAATCCCTTTTGTTAACATTCAGAAAGATAGATTTGATAATTATTGGTACTCTTGATTGAAATATGCCTAGAATTTTCTTACAATATTCTTCTTCATGAAGCCCTTCCCTACTCGCTCCTAATGGCAGCAAGATAAGACTTCCGTGTTGATTTTTCTCAAGATAGCCTGAATACTGTGGTTGATAGTGGTGATTAGCAAGAAAAAGACTTAATATTAAAATAAGGAAGCCATTAATGGGATATGATATCCCAATGATGTTTTGACAAGTGCACCTGAGAGTCCATCCGAGATTAAAATAATTAACTTTGGCATGGTGGGGTAGGAGCGACAATGGCTCGAGTATGGAGCTGTTGGGCTAACTCCTAAATCAGCCAATTTAAGATATAGAACGATCCATGCTTGTCCCATTCAATTAATTTATGTGGAGCTTTTAGTATTACTTTAAGAAGTGTTTTTAACTTTAGGATCACGGAGGAATGAGAAGAGGTATGCAATGATGTGAGTTAGAGTTTCCTTGGACCTATTTAAAGTTTCTTTGCATGTAGACTCCCTTTCTCTTCCTTTGAGGCTTCAGTAAGATAAGAAATCATGGATTATGCATAAATCTAGGGTTATGGAGGCTGAATTAGCCCATGTGTTAAACAACAAAGTTGCGGGGAACTGAATCATGAAGAAATAGAGCTTTAACTTATTTATTTTTTATAATACATGAAGGATATTTGCTCTAAATATTGATATATTGTTAGGTGGATTTTTAATTATGGGATTTAGAAGAATGAGAGAATAATTTGGCAAATGAGAGATAATTGAGTGAAAGATGATATTCTTATTCAAGCTTGAACATAACATCCTAAATCCCTCTTACTTATAGGAATATAGGCACTAGATACAAATTTAAACATATTCAAATTCAATTCTAATCTAATTGACTAAAATAGAAAATTAGCCTAAATCACCTAGCTACCTCTCATTTAAACATTAAAAAACATTCAAGTTATCCTCCTTATGTGATGTGGACGACCAAGGGATTAGAAGGGAGCTTTTGTATGCGTATTTTAACTTCTGGTTATCATCCTTATATCCTGGAAGTTTCTAGTTATATCTGAAAGGTTCCACAACTTATTGGAAGCTTCAGGAACTTTAAATGAACGTTGCTGTGCTCGTTGATATCATTATATTCTGTCATTGAAAATTTTTACATCTAAACCCTATATTTAAAATAGGGTGTATGGAAATAATGAAACAAACAAAATTACGAAGACAAAAGAAAAATGAAGAAAATTTAAAAAATGTCATCATGGCCTATTATCATAAAATAAATGGAATTAATAAAATAAGAAATTACATTCGTGAGATATTATTACAATATTGGCAATAATATTAAGGATAGTGGTCTTCCGTGATCATGTTATGTATTAAATTGCTTTGGATGCAAACAATACTTCCTCAAAAAATTTTATTGGAGTATATGCCTCGATGAACCAGTGTCCATGGGGGAGGCTATACTAGAACAGGCTTATGTAGAGCTCTCAAGACTCCAAGTAGATAGGTAGTGCAATTTGGGGATTGTTGATGACATCAATGATAATTTTCATGGAATTGTATGGTAATAGGTGATTCAATTATTAATAGTGGATTTGGAGGCCTTGGAACTAGACTTCTTCGGGCGATAATAAAATGTGTCTTGTTGGAAACCTAAGCTAGAGATTTACAATTTCATTACTGTGGAAACTATTGTAATATGAATTCAACATGCAAGACTAGTGAGAGATGAGCAATAATATGAGATTTGAGGAACATTGTTAGACTGGTCACTAGACTAGTCCAATCGGTCCATCCCGAACCGTCTCTATTTTATCAGAGACAGAACAGAAGTTCCACCCCATAGGTTCTGCCCCCTTGTGCGTGAGGTCCAACTGCCTGCAATTAAGAAGGAATTAATGTTGTTTAGGAGGGAAAATTCAAAGGAGGGGTTCTTTAGGGATTTCCTTTATTTTTTTTATGCTTTAAGCGGGATATTTTCCTTAGGGTTAGGTTATCTCTGATTTGAGCTTAAATTAGTTGGTTCTAAGGTTTGTTTGAGCTCTAGCTAGCAGCTAGAGATTGGAAGAGCTGGGTCTTCCTCTCAAATTAAAGATTCATTTTATCTTGTTCTTTTCTTCCCTAGTTAATCAATTGTAAAGGTTTCCTCTAAGTTTTCCATGTCATTCTTCTCACTTGCTGTTTGGCTTTTTGCTGAATTTTAATTTCAGCCAACTTTTTCTAGTTTTTCTACGAGTGTTTCCTATCAAACATCATGCACGTCAGTGGTGTCATGTGATCAAGAGATTTTAGTGTATAAGGTTGTTGAAACCAGTAGGATAATTAGGCTATTGCTTTATGTGGAGCTTTTAGTATTTCTCTAAGGGATGTTTTGATAGGAAATACTTGAGTTCGCAAGCAACCCTAAGGGAATACTTGAGTTCGCAAGCAAACCTATCACTAATTGGAGACAAAACAGCGAGAAATAAGCAAAAATCTGGGCGAAATCAGACCCAAAACGATAGATTGCAATAAGGGAAACAAAATAAAAAACAATACGAAAGCAAGATACAAGTGATCCTCAATTCGAGATGAGGATCGTCTCTCCCAAATCTCTAGACAAGAGAGTCTAGAGCCCAAACGCCAAGAAACCCCAAGAGAACAAACAATACAAGCATGCTTTTTCCTTCCCCTTACCTCTCCTATTTAAAGACTTTTCCACCTCCTCAAATCTTTCCTAAAAATAATTTTCAAATAAATTCAAATCCTATGGACCCCACCCCTAGGCGGTAATCTAATTTGGGCAAGAAAGGAGGCAGTTTTGCCTCCTTTTGTATACAATTGCCGGCCCAGGAGGGGCCGGCTGAGGCGGTTCAGAAGGAACCGCCCAATAGGCTGTTCCAAATGAAACGCCATATCATGTTTTTAACTTATGGATAATGGAGAAATGAGAAGAGGTATGCTGATGTGAGCTAGAGTTTCCTTAGACCTATTTAAAATTTCTTCACATGTAAACTTCTTTCCTCTTCCTTTGAGGTTCTGGTAAGAACAAAAGTCATGGATTGTGTATAAATGTAGAGTTGTGAAGGCCAAATTAGCCCATATGTTGAACAACAAAAGTGTGAAGAATCGAATTTGGAAGAAATAGAGCTCTAAATTACTTGTTTTTGATAAGACACGACGGAGATATGTCTTAAATATTGATATATTGTTAGATGGGCTTCTAATTATGGGATTTAAAAGAAAGTGAGAATGATATGAAAATATAGAATACAGTAGAAGATAATATTCTTTTATTTAAGCTTGAAAATAACGTTCTAAAGACCTCTTCTTCACAGGAATATAGACAACAAATTCAAATCTGAACATATTCAAATTCAATTCTAATCTAATTGACCAAATAAGAAAATCATCCTAGCTACCCTTCATTCAAAAATAAAAAAAAAACTTTAAAATTATTCTCCTTATGTGATGTGGATGGCCAAGGGATTAGAAGGGAGTTTTGGAATGCTTACTTCTGGCTATCATCTTTATCTCCTGGAAGTTCTCGTTATATTTGAATGGTTTTTACAACTTTCTGGAAGCTTCAAGAAATTTTATATGTACTTTTCTTTCAGTGATTGTTGATATCATTATGTTTAGTCATTAAAAATTTTTACATCTAAAGCCTATATTTAAAATGTGCTATATGAAAATAAAGAAACAAACAAAATTAAGAAGACAAAAAAGGAATCAACAAAAAAAAAATCACTTATGGAAAACCATCACAATGCTAAACTTAGGCAAATCATACTATAATTGACATCCAAAAGTATGAATACAATGTACTGTCAAATGATAGGCTAAAAAATAGTTTGATGAGTAAAATTTCATTTAACTATTGCTCTGAATAGCGGGAAGTCGTATGTTTAAGAGAATTGCAAATCCATTTTTGATGCTAGAGCAGGTCAATAGGAAGGAGGATTTCCATTTTCGTTTCTTCTCCTCTTGTTTCATTCATACGGAGGTCAACACCATTTTTGATGCTAGAGCAGGTCAATAGGAAGGAGTTGTTAACGGGCTTTTGGGCTTTTCCATTGTTGAAGTTTGAGGGTTATTGACACGTCTTTTCTTGCAAGATTGAGAGTTTGGCTACATTTTTGTTGGTAGTTCTGTACACGGTATAATGGTTTGATTCTTAGGTTCTGCTCTAAGCTAGGATTAATAGTTGAATTCCTCTTTTTTTTTTCTCAATAAGATGGTAAAAGGATTTTTTATGTTCAGGACCGTCAAACTTGTTTTCCTCAGCAAAAATATATCAGATAATTTAGTTTTATCCAGGGATGAAATAGGAGTTTCTCAAATGTAGGATAAGAGATGGATTGGTAACTAATTTTTGCAAAAGATTAATTGGTAGATGAGATTAGCATAGTAAAGAAACAAACTTCATGCATTTTTTTTTCTTTTATTTTCTTCGAAAAGCTCAAAATAGCATTAGTAAATCAATAAGAAAATGACGAAATAACAAAAAAATTGGTTTAAAAAAGGGTACAATAAGAGTACTTCCCAAGAGATCACTTGTCATTGTACGATTCTTGCTCAAGCATGCATAATTGCAAAGTTTTGATAGGATCTGATGCACTCTATTTAAAAAAGGACCAAAAAAAGATCAGTGGATAGAGGTAAGTAGCATACTTAAAAAAAATTGTCTTGTGGTAGGATGAATTGGATAGTTGAGTTCAACTGGTTTATGAGCTGCTGTTACTCATCTGCATATCAGATTTAACGTGGTGTTGTGTAAGTGCCAGAAGATTATCCTCTAATTACTTCAATAATATCCATATTTTTTCCCCAAATTTGTGGAATCATCTATCGTCTGCAATCTTCTCATACTAAAAAATTATTCCTTTTATTGTGACAGTAAACAATCCTAAGAAGAGTGGGCCTACTTTGAATGAGACGTTTCTTGGACTTTTATATCCTACAGAAAACTATAAAGTGTAAGATGCTGAAATTATTTTGAGCGATGCTCTTATAAATTTGCAATGTTCCATCAAAATTATTCTTGCGTTTACTGCATTGTGAATTAGAGTTGCTCTTCCAGATATGGATATTTAACCAACTCAAAGGTTAAATTCATCTTGGTGACAACTGATTTGGATGTTAGAGATGCTGATGTCAGAAATGTAAGTTTTTTTTATACATTATTGATGCAAATTTATTATTCACCCAGCAATAGTAGGTTCATTGTTGTGATTGATATAATTATTCATAATGTAGAGTATATCTTAGTTATCCTCATGCACAAGCTAGTTTTCTTAAGCTTCTTGTGCATATCTTAGGACATTTGTACTCTAACCTGGACAAGGTATTATTTCTTCTATTAGTTTCCCTTCTTGTAGTTGTGGAGTGTAAGTATTGTCTGTTAGCCTAGGATTAAGGCCCTCTTACACCTCTAAGTTCATAAGGCCCCTTACACCTCTAAGTCCATGACGTCTCATTGGACAGTGCAATCCATAGTTGTTGACAAGGATCCTCCCAATTAGAGAAATTTGTTCATTTTTTTTACCAAGTAAACCAAGAGCTATGATGACTCGTAATGATGGAAAACCATGGAATCTTAACCAGGGTCATTGTCCTATCCCTTAGATTAGTTTGCCCTTCTGCTTAAGTTAGTCAGCCCATTGCTTATGATGGACTTTAGCTCTCTAGGTTAGATATTCTCCCTAAGATAGTTCTTCTTCTTTAGATAATCAGTCTTTCTCCTAGTATCGTTGTCCATTCCATAGGATTAGTATGTACCCTTCCGTAAGATAGTATTCTTCTTCCCAAAGGATAATTTGCCCTTTCTTAGGTTATTATCCCGTAGGGTCATCTATCACTATCCCACTCACTTTTTCAATTTTATGGGTTTATAAAGCTTTCGTTCCCGGAGAGTTTTCGTAGCTACAATTCTGAGTTTTTTTATGATCCAACTTGTCTAGTGTTCTATAATATAATTTCTATTGTGTTTGAAGATGTCTTCCTTAGCTTTCATTCCCAAGTGTCCATATGCCAAGATTATATTTATAAACATTAAAATAAAGATCTTATAAGGACTCTGATGAGATTAGTTGATGATTAATAGACCCTATCGTTAGTTCTGTGTAGAATATGATTGTGTCGATTAATTGGGTTGTATTGTTGACTCTGACCTCAATTATATTGGTTGAGCTCGATGAGGATCTCGTTGGAGGGTTGCAGGGGACATTACGCCCCTTGCTTGGAGTTTAGGGGCAAAACAAATTATTATGTTTGTCTATACAGTCGTACAATGCCACAACACTGTATGCTAGAGCACTGTCATGCTTCGGGCTCAGGCTGGAGACAGAGAGTAGAGCATTGTGGTGCTCCAACTCCTAGCTTTGTGAGTCAAGCTGGAGATAGAGAGTGGAGCATTGCGTCATTCCAACCTCCAACGCCACCACGCTACGAGTTAGGCCAAGTAATTTTTTCCCTATTATTCTTATTTCACTTGAAGGGTTACATTCTTTTGATGTTTTTAAGTGTCTCTTATATGTTTTGAGTGTATAATAGTGTGCATGAAGTGAAGAGATAAAAAGAAAATGTGAAAAGAGAGATATGTACAATTTCTCCTAATTTTCATTATGAATTTTTTAGTGTGGTCTGGCCCTTTGGTTTTTTTCCAATTTTAGGTTTTTCCACATTAAATCTTGGCACTTGTATTTTTCTTATATGTTTCATTCTGTGATTATAATTCCCAACATTCTTTGATTTGAGTTGTAGTAATGGCTGACAAAATAAGGTACAAGGTTGAGAAGTTTAATGGTTTGAACTTCGCTTTTTGAAAAATGCAAATTGAAGGCCTGCTTTATTAGAAGAAGTTGATTTTTTCGCTCGATGTAATCACCAAGAAGTCATAATCGATGACTAGAGGAATCTGAGGTACTTGACCGGATAGCCTTAGATTTAGTTTGACTTTAACTTTTCTCATTTGTTGTTTTTAACATTGTTAGTGAATATACTACAATCGATCAAATGGCTATATAAATTAAGATGTATGAGAAGCCATCTACTTCAAACATTGCTTTTTTTATGAAGATGTTATTTAGTATAAAAATGGTGGACAATAGTTTAATGTCTAAATATCTGAATGATTTGAACACTATGATAAGCCAATTATACATTACTGGCATCAAGTTTGATGACAATCTGAGAGTGTTGTTGTTGTTATCTTTATTGCTAGATAGTTTGGATGAGATAATTACTGTTGTGGGTAATTTTTCATAGAGTTCAAAGTTAAATTTTGAGGACATTGTGGGGTTAATACTGAATGAAGAGGTTCTGAATTATACAAATGGTGAATCGTCAAATTTTGATTTGAATGTTGAAACCGGAGGAAAGGGTTAAGACATAGATCCTGGTAGAGGAAGATCTAAATTGACGAGAGGAAAATCTACATTATATAAATTGAAAGTTGTGTGCTGGAATTGTTGAAAGAATGGTCACTTGAATAAGGATTGTATTGTTCCAAAGAAGGCTAGTGGTGAAGGTCAAGATAAAAGTCACTATGCAAATGTATCTGCTTGATTTTGTCTCTGGACAATTCTGAATCTTGGATTATAGATTCAAGTGCTTCATTTCATACAAGTTCAAAAAAGGAGGTATTCAAGAACTACACTTAAGGTGATATGAGGAACATGTATCTGGGATACAATAAGCCCTGCAGCATAGTAGGATAAGGAGATGTTGATATCAGATTGTTAGATGGATCTATATGGAAATTAAAGAATGTCATACATTTGGCCATTATATTTAGATGTACCCATTGTAGTCATTTGGCCATTTATTGATGTGATGTGGCTCCATAAATTTTACCCAATTATGATATCATATTTGCTACACCATTATATTCAGATATATCCATTGTAGTCTTGTTTTTGTTAATGCCATCCTTTGGACAAAAGTCCTTGAATTCAGGACAACAATATTTTAAGTCGTTTTCACTTTTCAGTCCCCAACCTCTTAAGTCTCTTGTTTATTTGTTTCTTAATTTATGTTCACTCTGAAGTGTTTCGAATACAAAACTTTCTGCTTAAACATGCTTATGCATTAAGACATGTAGCTACTAGTCAAATAGAGATAATTGGTGAGCCATCTTGCAAAGAAATTTTAGCCTTGTCCACTGTGCATATAGCAATTATTATGATTTGCTACATTCGGAAGAATCTTGTCACCTAAACAGAGGATAATCTAACTAAGAATATTTTTTATATATTTCCGCTCTTATCATTTGTATTAATTACAGAGATTCCCCTTTAAAGCTTTTAGTGAACCCTCATTAGGTGAATATGCACTCATCTTCATTTTAAATAATGTGAAAAATTGATATTGCCATTGAAATTCTGAAATTCATATTTGATAGTACTGGTGAAAGGCTCTGATCAACTAGATAACCATCTCCCATGTGCAATCAAAGTTTAATAAAAATTTGTTTCGTTTGAGGGCTCAAATCAATCTATTTGAGAGTATCAAAGAGAGCAATTAGATCAATCTAGGACAAATAAAACAACCACAAATAGACAAGTTAATTGAATTTAAGTGGTTCGGTAAAAAACGATTTCCATTCATGGAGTGTGGGACAAATATCCACTATAAAGTATGGAATAATGCAAAATAAGAGAAGTAAGAAACATATATCAAATCTTCTTTTTTAGAACACTAATGAGAATAATAGTGGTGAAGAGCTCTCTCAGCTTGGAACAATCTTTCTCGAAAAGAGAAAAAAAAGAATAAACCCTCTTCTCTGAAAATAACAATGTTAAGGGTGTGATATAAAAAAATAAATACATAAAGGGAAGAGAAAAGACTCCTCTTACACAAAAGTTTCATGAACATAAGCCGCTCTCAATTCTTGAGAAACTATTGACGCTTCACTTAAGGAGAAGCCACATAATTCCTCCCCCTTTCATTCGTCTATTAACAGCAGCCATAGAAAGAAGAATTTAGAATTCGTTGCTCAGTCCCTTGGTCTTGCATGATCAGTCATGCCCTCTATCACTCGACCAAGCTCCAATAAGTACTTGTTTTTTAGGCTTTAATTTTAATGATGAGAGTCAACTGGGCTTTTAATATGACACAATGAAGAAAAAAGATTCATGTAGCCGACCCCACGGACTGGGATAAAAGCTTGATGTTGTTGTTGTAGAGTCAATTGGGCTTGCTAAATTGTGATTTCAAGTATGTTGTTGATGTTTCTCAATCATCTTGGTGGAATCTGAATATAGTTTTTTTTTTTCCTTTTTCTTCCTCTCGAATCGAAGAACAAATTGTATCTTTGCTATTTTCATCATCTACTAGTAAAATACCGGTGTTTTCTCCTAGTCTCCAGCAGTTTTCCTCGTTTTTTTCTACTGTTTTGGGCTGATTTCCTGCTGTGGACAGCAGCTCGCCTTGAGATTTGTTGCTAAAGTGATTAGGGAATACTTGAAATCAAGTATTTCCTATCAGTCGGGTCGTGTCAACCCGGCAACCTGCACGGGTCGAGTCCAAGTTGAGATAACCGACACGTTTGCAAAAACGGGTTGGGTTTGGGTTGACCCGTTTAGAACCGTGTCAACTCGGGTTCGACCCAAACCCGACCCGTCGACCCGAATTGACAGCACTGACTTCCAACCTGATTTACAACCAAATTATTCAATATTATTTGAGCGCTTACTGAAGGATGCTCTCTTAACTCATCAAACTTGTACGGCAATGCAAATAGATATACTGAAAGAGTCATGTTTGTAGGTAAAAATCTTAAAAGTTGTTATCCATGTCCTAAGATCATATTCCTCCTATTTTAAAGTTTTGCCTCGGCACTAAAACTTTAAGGTTGAGTATCAAAGTACAAATTTGATGCATATGAGATTAGATCCTCGGAACTTAATAATAACTACCAAATTCTTGTTTTCCTTTTCAGCTACCATTTTTTTAAATAAAATGGTATTAATGATTCATTTCGTTGTCTGTATGGTTTCGTTTGGGACAACTTTTTTTTTACTTTTTAAAACAGCTTTCTAGTATAAAAATTTTAATTTTTTAACTAAAAATCTGCTTTATGAAGCAGTAAAAAAGCCGTCCCAAACGAAACCCATGAATGAGTGATATGTGCACCTCGCTTGATGCATAGACAGTCAGCAACATTGCCCTGCCTTTTTTTTTTTTTCCTCAACGAATCTTGATTTTAAAGCACATGTATACAGGTCAAATGCCTGCCCTGATAGCTTTTCTATGTTGTTCTCAGTTTTTCAGGTGGTTCCATTCTGCTTATGTTGATGCAGTATCCAATCCTTTTCACCTTCCTGGAAAGAAGATAACATCAAAAACTTTTGCTTCAAGAATCAGCACTCTAGTCAAGTCTTTCGGATCGACTGCACCTGCATGATAGTATCAAACAACATTTATTCATGTTTTTGTTATGAAATCCATTTTAATCTGCATTCTTCAGTTTGCAAAACCAATATATGTTAACATACTTCTAAACAACCTTATTATCAGTAAAGTTGCTGAACTTTTCAGAATTCTGATAGGAAACACTCGTATATCTCAAATCTTCTAAAAACAGCGAGAATTCTTCACAAAAATCCACACAAAATCATGAAAACAGTAGATAATTTGTATTATTTGATGAAAGAGAAATGGAAAATACCAAGATACAATTGATCTTTTATTCGAGAGGAGGATCTACCTCTCCCAAATCTCTAGATGCAGCTAGAGCCCAAAGAAACTAAGAGATATCAAATTTCAACTAAATTCTAGATGCCTTAACTCTAGAAAAACAAACTATTTAAAGCACACAAATCAAAAGGAAATACCTAAACAGTCCCTGCATTCAAATTTCCAGTCCTAACTCCCTAAAAAATTCTTCCTAAACAGCTCATGCACGCCCGGGCGTGCATTCGGCGCGTACAGGAGGTGGAAACAATGACTTTGTTCACGTAAGCCTATCCCTTCGGAGCGGCTGGACCGGTCCATTGGACCAGTCTAACAAAATTCTTGTGCTTTTGCTGCTTGTGAAAGTTCCTGAAACTCACAATTGTGAAGGTTCTCAGGATTGTTTTAAAAAGCTTTCTTGCACGTCTCAAAGAAATTGTCTGGTTTGTTTCCACCTTATAAAATACGTAGAAAACAACAAATTTGGGATAATTGACGGATACTTTCCCCCTAAACCCTAATTCCACACTTGGCTATTGGAATCAACATTGTGAGCTTATCCGTCACTCGTCTCCATCATTCATAGCTTTGCATCGCTCTCCCATTGAGGTATGTCAAGATAACTCAAAATTTTAGAAAGCAGTAAGAAAGCTGTTTCAAACGAAGCTCAAGTCTGAATTGTTAGTTTGGAATTTGGTGAAGAATGATGTTTTTCGTGGACTTTAGAGAAACAAGATGATGATACAACTTGTTGTGAAATTTAAGACATGTTAGAAATTTCTTTTATTATGAATAATCTCCCACAAGACATGCGAAAACATTCACTTGCATCACTATTTTCTTCTCATGAATGAGGGAAATTATTGGGTTCGGACACCGGACGACGTTCGGAGCCCAATAAAAATGTGTCACATCACCTCCTACTCGATAATGAGCTCGGTACTTCACAGTACCGAGTTCAGTATTATTTGGTATTGTGAAGTTCCGAACGATAAGTTGTGTCCGGTGTCCGAACCCAATAATCTCTCCAGGAAAGATGATCTGATATTCGCTCACTCGTTTTATAATCATTATCTTATCGCATCAGATCTTGAGTTACAACTTTAATTTTTGATATAATTGTGCTTAGCCTTATACCACAATATTGACTTACGAAGGAATCACCATCATATAAGCCACAACTTTTCATTGTGTCACAATCATTATCATATCAAGATTTAAGAAATCAACACTAATCATGATGCAGAGTTATTTTTTCCTCGGCGGACACGTGGGACATAGCTATTGTGCTATAGTTATTAACAAGAGCATATAAGTCTTGTTGTTTGGACGTGAAATCTTGTTTTCCGTCAATATCATGCGAGAGATATAACACTTGCATTTGATTGGTTATGCTTAATTCTAAGCATAATATGTTGCTTCATATTAAACGACTCTCATGCATCTTGATGCATTTAAGATAAAACGAATCTACAAAGAATTGAAGAGACTTGGTGCTTGTGCCTTCAATTGTTGTATTTTAAAGAATAATTAGATGTATGTTAGCCTTGTTTGCCCGTGTGCCTTAGCTCTACTTGGCAGCGTGCCCAGGAATTACATGCCAGCGTGCCTAGGCCTTGCCAGCCAGCGTGCCCAGGCTCTGTCTGCCAGTGTGCTCAAGCCCATTCAAATGTACTCATAAATACTCAATTTAAGATTTTTTAGCATCATGATAGCATGTTGGATACTCATATGTATATGTATAAGTAAAAATGTATTTTTTGTATATATATATATATATATATATATAATATTTATTTATTTAATTAATTCAAAATTAGGGGAATATTTAATTTTTTTGGTGAGAGGACCATTGCTTAAGTGCAATATAATTATGATTAGTATAAAAAGTTGGCTATAAAATAGAATTAGATATTAATTATTATATTAAGAAATAAATATTTAATTTTATTGAGATTGAAATAATTATTAAACTTTTTTAGAATTTAATAAGTGTTATAAGTTTCTTTTTTTCATCCTGTATTTTACCTTTTTAAAATAATATTTATAAATAAAAAATTATTAAACTACCAATATTGGCCCCAAATTTGGATTAAAAAAATTGAGAGAAATTTTGAAAAAAATAATTTGTGCCCTAATTAAAAAAAAAAAATTCATGGTCTTTCTAAATCTTTTTTAAAAATAGTTTATATGTTGAGGAAATATTTTTTACAACTTTTAAAAAAGATAATTTCTCCGCAACTGTTTCACAATTTCATTTACAAAAACTTTATTGGTCCTAAGCAAATCCTAAGTTTTAGATAAATATATGCTATTAGACTGTATAGTTAATTCTTAGATATTTACAAATATAAACATTTACACGCTGAGATTTACAAAAATATATATAAATGTTGAAAAGTTTAATTATATTATCTAATCTTTTAATCATATTATCTATTAATTTTAATTATCTTGAGAGAAAAATATCTGACATATAAAATAAAAAATAAATGTCAAAAAGTGTGTCGACCATTTATTAATTAATTCATATTGCTTTTTAAATATAATAATCAATCATTTTAATACCATTTATCATTTTGTTTGAGACAACTTTTTATTGCTTTATTTTTAGATCATAATTTTGTTTTGCAACAATTTATGTTGCTTTAAAAAAATTCGCTTCTTTATAATAACTTTATAAAGCATTAAGCTATCTCAAACGAATGAGAAATTATTATGTGAGAAGTCTGGACATTGCTAGCTTGCATTGGACTTCAATCAAAATAAGGCACGTCGTTAATACACATCATGTGTATAATCTTATACATAGGATATGTATAATGCACACTTTTGTGTACATGCAATTTGGCCAATTTTCGTGGGCGTCTAAACTCATCCGGCCTCGACGCAAAATAGGGTTTCAGACGAATCGAGCTGAGTCAAGTATGTGGGTGTTCATGTTTGAGTACGTTTATTATCAGCTTATTCAAGTTCAGTTCGTGTTTGATTCGAGCTTCATTGTGTGTGTTCATGTTTGGTTCATTAAAACAAATGGGTATTCATGTTCGATTTGTTTAAAGCTTATTAAACTTTATACTAACAAGTGTTAACGAGCTATGTTCGTGAACATATCTAGCAATTTTTTTTAAATCATCAAATAATCATGTTCATGAATAAATCTAACGAGAATTATGTAGATATCATTTGATAGTGTTTTCAAGCTATCAAATGAGATCGTTCATGGACAAACGATTTATGATTCATCTTATATTTATTCATGAACATCTTAAACAAACAATCTAGCAAATATGGACATAATTATATTATGTATATTTAACATTTTTATAATTAAAATTAATCAAGTTTTTATTAAGCTTAATCACGAGTTTCGAATCGAACACGAATCCAGCTTTAATCAAACTTCTTATCAAGCTTGTTCAAGAGCTTCAAATGATATTTGTGAACATAAATGAACCGAACACTTTAGTGTTAAAGCTTGTTTATTTAAGGATCGGGTATTTAAAATGTTGTTCAAGTTTACTTATTTAGTTAATTAAATGATTGCAAACGAACTTTAATCGAACCGAGCAAAGAATAGCTCATGAAACGCTTGGTTTGCTTACGACACTAGCGCAAAATAATTTTTCCAAATGAAGAAGGCTCAATAAAATATTTAAAAAAAAAAAAATTTACGTCAAAGTTACAATTTTTTTATGATTTTATGTAACGACGTAATTTACAAAATTTAAGTGCAAAACAGAATTACGAAACAAAACTTTTTGATCTCGATATAAAGTACCCAAAATTTAAAAATTTACAACAAGCATTATTAGTATTCACACCCAGTCATTTACAGATTTTACAAATCTATCCCTCTCCCCGCCCCAATCACTCCCCTATCTCTCTCTCTTCCTCAGCCTTCTCGCCGCGGCCTCTTCCGCCCATCTCCGGCCACCTCATCAATCCTGACACAATCCGCATAAATATCCGCGATCGACCGATACCTCGGCCGAAGCCGCTTAAATCCTCCATCATCATCGTCCTCGTCCTCCGCCTCCTTGGCCACAGATAAAGAAAGAGGATGGCGGCGATACGGCGGAGGAGCGATGCTTCCGACGGAAATAGGAGAGGAAGACGAAGACAGCGCGGAGGAGAAGCTTCTCTGTAGGGTCGCCGCCGATGTATCGGGGCTGCTCTCGCTGAGCTGGACGAGTTGCTCCGCCGCGGAGAGCTCAATCGCCGTAAATCCGGGGATTCTTATCGGCGCTGGTGCCGACCATAATAACCGCTTCTCTTTCCGAAGAATTTCTTCCATCGATTTTCGCTCTCTAGGGTTTCTCTCTCTCTCTCTCTCTATTGTTTTTTGTTTTCTGTCTTTCTCTCTCTTCTGTCTGCGTATGTTTGTTGGGTTTGTTGCGGTGATGGGCTTTTATATGGGGTCTGCCCGTTTTGAGTGGGGGGAACCGACTCAAGGGGCCGAAGGAAGGGAATGTGTGTCGGGTGCACCGCGGGTTATCGGGAGCCTGGTGATCTACGCGCTGTCGCGGACCTCGCCGTTGGAATATAGTGACGGATATGTTCGCTTTAAGAAGGACACGTGGCAGAGGAGGATTAGATGGTGAAGACAGGAGGCGGAGTTATTTGAGGTGGCCTCTGATCGTCTCTGGTTCGCTCGGCGCAAAAATAAATTTATAAAAAATAACCACGCGTCATTTCAAATCAAATATTTCGATAATCTAATATATAAATATATATTTTTTATATTTATGCCTGTCACGATCAAATAAAAAATTAAAGAAAATATTAAAAGTATTTAATAATAGTCTTTTAAGTTACATATTTAGATAAATTTTTGATTAATCAAAAAAAAATCATGCTCAAAATTTTCTTTAGTTTAATTTACAATTATAAAATAATTTAAAATTTATTGGGCTCATCATGATTTGTTGGTTAAGAGCTTTGACTATCAGCTAAGAGGTATTGGATTCAAAGCTTATATATGTGATGCGTACGTGAACTTGCTTAGGGAATCTTCAATCGAAAAACATATTTTACACTTCAAAATACAATAACAGTCATACCAAACAGTAATTCATCTTCGTAGAATTGAGATCAGATGAAGAAGCACTTCCTCTTTAGCTTCTTAGAGAGGAGGGAGAGTGTAAGGGGGGGAGAGAGAGAGAGAGAGAGAGGGGAAAAAACTCAAATTTTGTATTTTTGTAATACCAAGCTATTATAATATATAATCTATTTATAGGCACAAAAGCAACATAACAAGCTACACAACTAGGTATAAACATAAAATTATGACCAATATCTAACAATCTCTAATAGAACTCCAATTCTCATATAAAAAAGAATATTATGCGTGTATTTTTTTCTCATCTCTTAACGTCAATATTGATGTTGCACTGTTTAGAGCCGAGATAAAATACAAAATGTAATTTCATTTGTCGGTCAGGTGGACGCTCGTCATAACTACAAACGAGCAATTGACGTTCGGTTGGAGATGCGCTTAATTGGAGAGCTAAAAAGTGTTTCAAAAAAAATAATTAATTCAAATGTTAATGACACGATATAGTTTATAATTTGAAGCTCTAATGCTGCATTGATTAAGGAACGAGTCAAATTTATTATATTTGCAGTTGCTATCAATACGATAATTTTTTTGCATTCGATCTCGGATGAGCTTTATTTAAATTAAAAATAAATTCAGGGAGTTATATGAAAATGATGCGTCGCAGAAATTTAAGAATTAATAAATTTATTTACATAGAAATATATTATATGATAAGAAATGTAAATACATTTTGTGACCCAAAAATAGTCTTGATCAAGCACGAATCTCGATGTGAATAAGAGATTGAAGCTTCAAAAATTAAAATGAGAACCATCTTATTTCTGATTTCAACAAACTAATAGTCGAGCTGAACATCTCAGAAATATGAGCCAACAACTTCAAATTCGACTAAATCCGAGTCCAAATGGGTCTAAATCAAAGACTCGATACGCTTTTGGAAGGCTCAAACCATAATTTGGATTACCAAACAAATTCTAAACGTGACATGCTTATTGTCGAGTCGAGCGGCTCGACAAGACGAATCCGACGAGGCAAAGATCACCAAATTCTAAAATCATTAAGGCATTCAAATGACCAATAAATGGTTCACAATCGACCGTCCATTCAAACCACTCTCATTTTTATATTGGTCTTCCTCATATTTACAAGTCATGTCACACTAAAAAAAAATTATAAGTAACTTACATTCTTCACAAGAAAGGGTAGGTGAAGAAGAGGAAAAAGAAGAAAGGGAAGGGAGGAGTTTGGAAGCAAGATTGATGTTGGCTATCGACGGAGTTCTTCCCAACAACTATTGAACTTTCATCTATTCGTCGACCACCGCCGGAGTTCCTCCCGACCATTGTCAAACTTCAGCCCGTTCTTCGACCATTGCCGGAGCTCCTCCCAACCACCATCGGAGTTTCACCCCGTTCGTCAACCACCGTCGGAGTTCATCTCAATCACCGTCAAAGTTTCACGCATTCGTCGACCACTGCAGGAGTTCTTCCCGACCACTGTCAGATCTCCGCCCGTTCATCGACCACATCGGAGTTTTATTCCCGACCGTTGTCGAACATCCGCTCGTTCGTCAACCATCGACAAGATGAATCCGACGAGGCAAAGATCACCAAATTCTAAAATCATCAAGGCATTCAAATGACCAATAAATGGTTCACAATCGATCATCCATTCAAACCACTCATTTTCATATTGGTCTTCCTCATATTTATAAGGCATGTAACTCTAAAAAAATTATAAATAACTCACATTCTTCACAGGAAAGGGTAGGTGAAGAAAAGGAAAAAGAAGAAAGGGAGCGAATCAAGCTTTATAATTCATTCACACTTTAGTGGATCCTTATCGTTTGTGTTGGTCCCCGTAGTTTTTCCCTTTCTACATTTTTCCACATAAAAAAATTCTGATGTTCTTTTCTCTCTCAAATATCTATTGGTGTGCCAGATATACGTACATTGCAAGACGTTTATTGTTTTACTCTACTGCCGCGTATATTCTTGCCTGCAACAATACTCATTTTAAAATAAAAAGATAATTTAAAACTAAATTTAATTAAATTTAAATCATGAGTTAATCCCTAACGAGATGAAATGCGATTAACTGTTTAAATAAATTTGCACGTCTAAAAAAATTTCTCCGGTGGTGAATGGTGGAGAAAAAATTCAAATATCTGCATTTTCATAAAACTCCCTACAAATTTTTAAATTTGAAGAGAGCTCTCTGAAACCGAATGCAAAAAACTTTTATCGTATTATTATTTTAGTTTTGAAAACAACTGCGAATTTAATAAAATTGACTCTTTCCTTAATAAATGTAGCATTAGAGCTTCAAATTATAAACTACATCGTGTCGCTAACTAATGGACTAATCAATTTTTTATTTATTTCATAAGGCTGCAAATAAGATAATGCAAAAGACATTTTGCAGAAAAAATAAAATTCATAAATTATGTAAAATAGAAATGTTATTTGATAATAATTAAAAAAAAAAGATGAATCCAATGCATGTGATGAGACTGGTCAACGCGACTCTGAGAAAGAATTGGTCAAACCAACATTATCTCTTATTAAACTATTAATTTAATTGTGATTCAACGGTCGGATTCCTATATTTGAATTTCATTATAGGTGCGAGTCTTGGTCTTATATTTACTTGATCTCTTACGCTAAAACTCTTCTGAAAATATCAGAATAGAATTTTTTTAATTATCAAAATTATTTTAAAATGAGTATAATATGAGTTTTGATATAATATGAGTTTTGATGGATCATTTACTATTATATTATTTTCAAAATGAATTTAATGATTATAAAATTTATTTGGATTATATTCATATTCCAATTTGGCTTTACCATCGGATCTTCCTCAATAATGTTTAATTTGAGACAATTTTTAACAACTATTTTTTTATTATTTAAGAAAAAAAATTCTAAAATTTGTTTTAAAAAACAGTAAAAAACTATCACAACCAAAGACAACAGCTTCATTTTGGGATGTCTTTCTTATTTATTTGCTTCTTCTTTTAGATTGTAATCATAGTTTCTATTTGGTCATAATTTTATCATCATTTAAAAAAAAATTATTAAGAAGCAACTTTTTACAATATATTTGATAAAATTACATTCTCTACAACAATTTTAATAAAACGAGTGTCAATTTTGAGTAACGGGTCGGGTTCGGGTTGAACCTGAAATTGACCATGAACTATTCGGGTCAACCTGATCGAACTCGACCCGTTTTTTTACAAACGGGCCAGTTTTTCGGACCCTACTCTTCGGGTCTGGGTGAACTCGACAAGACCCAAATGACCTAGGGGCCGACAAAAAATTGCTAGTTTTCAAGTCAAAACATGTGTCAATCTCCGTTTTCAGGTCAATTTCGGGTTTCCAGTTCAACATGAACCCGACCTAGTTTTTGAAACCGGTCAATTTGTTGATCCCGAATCCGACTTGTTTCGGGTCCAGGTTTACCCTAACCCTGAATTTTTGGGTCGAGTTCAACTTAAGTTTTCGGGTCGTGTCAAATATTGACACCCCTAAGTTTTTATAATCACTTATACAAAAAAGTCATAGCCATCCCAAATAAACCCTAAATTCCAATGGTGAAAATTGCGACATACAAGGGGTGATGACAGAGAGATTATTCTATGTGGTGTATGTACACATCCGGAGGTCAACCTGGACGCGTCACGTCATTTAATGCACTGTACATTTGGTGACATGACGCACCCGAATTGACTTACGAACAAGTCCGAATACCGCACAGAATAATTTTTTTTGTGATGATGACCCTATTATCTAGGTCCACTCTACTTTTGAGCTTCATCCCTCCTTGTCAAGGCCCCTTTATACTTGTTCTGTCCAGGAGTTTTCGAGGCGGTAGAGAAATATAAAGTTTATCGTCTTAGCATTGTACGAAAATCTGACACGTAATCAGATAAGAGAGAGGGTTTAGCATTTATGAGACACCAAAATTTTTACGCGGAAAACCCTTGAAAATGGGGAAAAACCATGGGGCCCAGCCTAGTTCAAGTGAATCCACTAGTATAGCAGTTGATCACAAACGAGGCCTTTCCTTGGGGAAGGCCTTAACTTGATGTATATCTTATAGAGTACATTACAAGATGAGAATGCAAAGAGTCTCTGTTGATGTATTTGTTTAGTATGAAGGACTGTAATCGGTGGGAGACGTAAGTCGGAAGAACCGTAGTTGACGGGCGATGGAGGTCAGAAGGACTGCAGTCGGTGGACGACGTAAGTCGGGAGAACCATAGTCGGCGGGAGCAACGGCGGAGGGAAGGGGGAG